CTCCCATTCTCTCGCTTTTGTCCTCTCTCTCTCTCCCTCTCTCTTGTGCTTTTTGTTTGTCATGTTTGCGAAGCTCAGATGCTGTCGGCACAGATAGAGCTTCGGGTTGTACAGTGTTGCTTTTGCATCCCCATGCACGCGCAAAATGACATACATATAAACGTACAAGTACACACACATGCATATAATGCATGTAGCTACACGTATTTATGTGTGTGTGTACTGATTTACATCAAAATAAATACATGTGTCAGTCAGATAGAGACTTGTACATGTGTTCGCTATTTCCCTGGCAAAACCGATTTTTGGCGCCAGGGTCAATTAACGGATTATGTGTAGCGACTACCGTTAGCATGGGCAGTGATTTAAATGGACCAAGGGAGATTTTGAACAGAACTTAATGTTGACCGATCACATAAAGTGTATTTAGTTTCTACATTTTGTAATTTAAATGCAATTATAACACTGTACTTTCGATTTGATTTTGTCGTCATACCCATGACTTGCCGCGTTTTTTTGCATCCTATGCCTACACTTCCATACATACATATGTATTGAATGTAACAGAAAACACATAAATACGCACATACATATATGCATGCATACAAGCATAAATATATTGAGGTTATATATAAAATATTATTTATTTTATTATTCAACAGTGCGTTCCTTTGGCACGGAGGATCGTGATACGCAGTTTCAAATAGCTCCGCAGTCGCAGATCTATGATTACATTCTATTTCGCGGCTCCGATATCAAAGACATTCGCGTTGTGAACAACCATACGCTGCCGCATCACAATGATCCGGCTATTATGCAGGCCCAACTGCAGAATGGGCCTCAGGTAATGCCACAGCATTTCCCAATGAATGCGCCCCAACAACAACCGCAGCAGCAGCAGCAGCAACAACAGCATACTGGTCCATCGATGCCTGGTGGCAGTGGAGGTGCACCTGGAGCACCTGGCACTGGTTTTGGAAATGGCAATCCATTTGGTGCCTTGGGCGCGCCCGGTCTGGGCCCCGGCTCCTTGGCACCAGGTGCCGGCGCACCGGGCAGTGGAGGTCCGTTCATGAACATTGGCGGTAATCAGCAGCAGCAGCAACAAAAGCCTCAGCAGCAGCCAAAACAAAGTAAGTAGTAGACACACAACATATACATCACTCTCACACCTACACTCTCACCTAAACACACACACATACACATCATTAATACGCATAAATGCACGTCCTCCTGTCTATATGTAAAGTTTCTGTTTTAGATATGCTAGCGAGCGCTTCGCGTTCGACCACTCCTATTAGCCTCATCATCAGTCCAACAGCCGACCTGACCCAGCAGCACTCCCAGCAACAGCAGCAAATTAATCAGCAGCAGCAAAACTCTGCACAAGCTATTGGCGGCGGCGGCGGTGGAGGTGGTAATGCGCGCGATGCCGGTCATAAGCGCCAAAACCATCAGCAGCAGCAGCAGCAACAGCAGCAGCAGAGAGGCGGAGGTGGAGGAACCAACATGCAGCAGAATCAAAGGAATAACCACAACAATGATTTCTACAATCATCCCCACCAGCAGCAGCAGCAACAGCGCGATCGCCGTGATTCTGGCCGTCAAATGGACAACAACAATTACAACTATAATAATCAACGTAACCGTGGGGGTGTTGGCGGCGGTGCTATGCAGCAGCGCGGCGGTGGTGGAAACGGTGCATGGAATATGCATCGTGGCGGACCACAGAATCCGAATAATATGATGATGCGCGGCAATCGCGGCATGGGTAGCCGTGGGCCAATGCGACCAAATCAGGTAAATTCAAGCAATGGAATAATCCATTCCGAACCGCGTTCGGTATATATATTGATGTTGGAATATGCTTGTTTATCAGCAGGGCTATCGTCCGCAATCGGCTAATCAGAATAAGCCGCGCAACAAGATCAAATTTGAGGGTGACTTTGATTTCGAGCAGGCCAATAATAAGTTCGAGGAGCTGCGATCCCAGCTGGCAAAACTCAAGGTGGGCGACGAACCCAACAACAAAACCACAGCTACAACAACAGCCACCACAACAGCCACAACAACAACTTCTACCACTACTGATCAGGTATAAGTTCGTTTGTTTATTTTCATTTTTTGTCTAATTTAAAATCATCTGCGTTCAGTTAACTTTATATACGATTTTATTTATTTGAAAAACAATTTCCACTCAACTCATACAATGCACCACACACTCATGCGAATGCGTGTTTCATTTCAAATTGTTAAATTGCTATTCCGTTGAACTTTGCACAGCTAAATGGTGAGACCGATAAGAAAGACGACTCTGGCAACGAGACCGGCGCCGGCGATCATGAGCCTGAAGAGGACGACGTTCATATTGGTTACGATAAGACCAAATCGTTCTTTGACAACATCTCGTGCGAGGCTGCTCAGGATCGCAGTAAGAACAAGAAGAATGACTGGCGTCAGGAGCGCAAATTGAATACCGAGACGTTTGGCGTCTCCTCCACCAGACGTGGCAGGTGAGTTAAAGCAGGGGTTCCGCCTCCTTACAGCAAGTTAATAATTTATTTTTATCTATTTAATAGCTACCGGGGGCGCAACAATTATTATAATAATGGCAATGCGATGGGTGGTGCTGGCAATGGCGGCATGAATTCTGGCTATGGCGGTGCACCTGGCTACAATCGAAACAACTATCGCATGGGCGGCGGCGGCGGCAACTATCGTAACCGCAGCAACAATCGTAACAATAACGGCGGCAACCGCCAGAGCAACATAACCAATGGAAATGGTAGCGTAGCTGCAGCTCTGAAAGCAGCCAACAATGCAGGAAGTGCTGCCGGTACAGGCAACAGCACGGACACCACGGCATCGAATGCCGCAACAACGAAGACAGCCACGTCTACGCTCACAGAGCAGACGCAACAGGTCGCGGCAGTTTGTAAGTGATATAACGTCTCACCTGTTATCGTACTTACTATTTGACTTCGGATTTATTTATATATTTCAGCTCAATAATGTCGCACAAGTGGAGAATCCTTGCCTAACTTTACAAAAACAAATATGAAAGAAAAAAAAGAAACAAAAAAAAAAAAAAAAAGAAACAAAAGTCCTACTCATTGCAAAGTTAGTTACCCGAATGCAACCTAATCAAGCGACCGATCGACGACAAAAAAGGCTCTTATCATCATGAAGAATCGAGTTATGGAACTAATGGCATAAAACAAAATAATTGTAAAATTTTACTTAGTGTTGTAACGCTCATGACGTCCTGCGCGCACTCTCTGCCCGCCCACCGTGTTGCTTAGCTATTAATTATATATGATCCGAGAGCGTTTAGCAGCCATATGGATAGGTATTTTGTGTAAATGGCATGCTAGAACGTCAATAGCGAGGCAGCACTTGATTATAGTGAGAGAACATACACACCTCTACATATATTTAGTAATAAATGTGAAGAAAACAAAAGCTAAGCATAAGTTTATGAAAAGATAAAAAGAAATAAACTCTAGGAGTCGCAAATTATGAAATTAAAGGAAAGAAACAATTAAATCCATGGAATTCCCAACATTAATAAAAACAAAACGCAATTCACATGTTTATATTTTAAAAACCAAACAAACAAGTCTACAACTATACTTAATGTGGGCAGACATCATAAATAAATTAATTCAAAGCGTTACTAGCATTTAAACTTTTTTAAGAACAATTTTAATGATGGAGAAATGGAATTACATGCATATATATAACAATTAGCAGCAACTCGTACATATATGGAACACAACAAAAACAAAAACCTAAAAAAGAAATTATAAATTGTAAAAAAAGAAATCCCCTATCAGCAGTAGTGTGGGCAAGAAATAAAATACACATATTGTTTATAAGACAAAGGCAAAACAAAAATCGAAAACAATTAAAGCGTGTCTTTCAGAGATTAGTTAAATTTTTCGATCATTTTTTTCCGGGTCTATAGCCGAAATCGTTCTTAATATATATATATATATATAGTGTGTAGTTGAATGCGTTTCATTTGTTTGAGGGAGCTAAAATATATATATTTTTAATTACTCTACTTAAATATGTCTACACCAACAACCAACTATGTATTTAGCTTGCAGCCTTCAAAACAATTGCAAACAAAAACAAAAAACTATTGAAAAGCTAAAAGAAAAACATATTCTGTCACCCAGGAATGCACAACAATATCTCATTATACTACAGTTTTATAGTTTAAGGAGTTAGCTGTACGCATTGTGCGTGGATGTTCGCGTAAAATTCCGATTAATGATCTAATTTAAAAAAAAAAAATTATTTTAAAGTTATCATTTTACTTTACATCTGTATTCGAGTGGCCGGAATTGAATGGGGATATTACAACAATACTCCACGGATTGTACATCAAACATGTTTTTTGTAAATGTTTCATATAAATAAGCCATATAATTCATATTAAATTCAGAGCAAAATAACTTACCGAGTTATAATTTTCTATGTCGAAGCCCCATGGGTTCTGTTTTCATTTTCTTCATTATTTTTTCTTAAATATAGAATGGACACACTACATCTATGTTGAGCACAAACCTGTATGAAATTGTAATAAATATATATGTATATGTTGCTTATAAGTAATGAACGAATCAAATTTTCAAATAGACTATCTCTTATTGGAAGGATCTATTGGTATGGATAAAATAAGTTTTTGTTTAAATTTAAAAATTGGCATCAAGGAGTACTGAAGTCGAGCTTAAACTTATCATGCTAAGGGAATTGTTTTTTTATATTGGATCATACTAAAGTGAATTACAGTTAAATGACAATATCATATATATTTACTTCGATTCCAGTCCAGTTTCAATTATTTTCTTTTGCTTTATAAGTGCTAATTAGTTTAAAATATTTTCAACAGTATTTTTGCTTTCCAAAATAAAAAGAATGAAAGATAAGTTATCCTTTCAATATTTTATTAACTTGGGAATAGAGTTACAAAAGTTTAGCTTCGTAGAAACTGAAATATAAATAATGTCATATATATGTATATGAATGTGATAGGTACTACATAATTTATTCAGTTCATGCGATCGAAATAGGATCGTCAGATCATTTATCCCACAATCCCAGCTCACGCATCTTGGTTTGAAAGTATCGCTCTAGAGAATTAGCGCAGCGATAATACTCGGTCTCAGGAGAGTTATAGAAGCGACAATTAGAGAAAATGCGAGCCATGTCGGCCATGAACAAACGCCGTGTCTGATAATATCCCTTCTTCAAGCGTTCACCCATTGTCTTCAGGTCCATGGGATACTTGATGTGCTCGTAGTAATCGGGAACCTCGGCTGCAGTAACTGGGCGAAGGAAGGGCCAGGCTGCGGTGTGCTGGCGCACAGATTGTAAGACAGATGCAAACTGGGTCGCCAGTTTCTCTGGATCTGTGGATTCTTCCAGGGGACGAGAAGCACGCGCTGGACGCATTTGTGGCTTCCACCCGATTTCCCTCAGGCCAGGTATGGACTCAACCGGTATAGACGGCAATCCCTCTTTAAAGCAAGTTAAGCCAGGTCTTACTTTCTGGACCTCGTTGTGTCGTTGTGCAATGAGCTCTTTAAGAATTTCACTTTGATTGCGAATAACTAAAAAATTAACAAAAAAAATACGTATGTTAATTGGCAATCAATTAAGGATCGCATCATGTTAACTGACCGGAAATAAATTGTGTATTCACAATGCTTGGATGCAGCTCGCAGTGCATTAGCGTAGCACTGTCGTACTCCTTTATATAGCCCGCATAGACGGGACGCGCCAATTTGATGTCCTTGGAGAAACCTTGTTTCTTGAAATAGCCGATTGCATCGCAATCGGCAAAGGTGAGCAAATGTTTTATTCCACGTTGTATGCTGTAATCCTTTAGGTGATTCATTAGATGGGTTCCATAACCCTTCACTTGCTCCGCCATGGTAACTGCACAAAAGACAATCTCTGTGAAGCCCTGGGTGGGAAATGGGCGAAAGCATATGCCGCCAATGGGCTGATTTTCCTTGATCAGTGCCAGGGTTTTGTGCTTGGTGTCGAAAACAAGCTGGCTTATGTATTCACGCGGCATCTCGGGCAGCTGATAGGCAAATACCAGCTGCAGTCCGAGCAGCCAAAGGATCGTTTGCTTATCCACGGGCTTGGTAAGCGAATTTCCGACAACGTGAAACTCGATTGCGCGCTTCTGCTCTTCTGCCTTGACATTCTCATCGCGTGACACATTGATGGGAAACAATATTTCCGATTTATTTGATGTTTTTGACTCTGCAACGGATTTCATGGCACGCATCACCACTTCAGTTGGCAGATCATCCTGGTTTTCGCTATGGAACGAAATAAAAAGAAATATATTAATATAAAGATAACATCGTTTTGCTAGAAACTAACCTGGTTACACGTTCCGCAACCTCCTTTTTGACCCTCTTGTGAGCAGGTTCCCCCACGCTTGAGCGCTTGCTGCCACTAGGAGCGGCTGCACCAGCAGACGAAATGGTGGGTGGTGGTGCCACTTCCTGATGCCGCTTTCTCTGTTGCACGACGAAGGAATTGGGTGGCCTGTATGTCGAGTCCCATATGGGTGAATCATCTTTTAGCAACTCAGCCCTTAATGCCTCCAAAAATTTTGGCATTTGCGTAATGATGGAGCGTTTGTCTTCGGGAAAGCGATCTCGTTCCGAAATGCATTTCTTCTTCAGCTGTTGCGACATATATTGGAAAACAGTGCGCAGAAGAGTGCGCCCAAAAACGAGAGATGTCTCAAACTGCCTCAGAGAATTGCAGAACGCGGGTACATGGCAAAATACAAGCCAACGTGTGTAATTGATCTTATAAGTCGATGCATCCTCGTGCGTCAGAGTTGGATCGCCGCGCCGTGCGGAGGGCGACTCAAAATTGTAATGATTGAGAAAATTCAGAAAGGTCTTCGCCACCTCTGTCATGGTCTGCAGTTCGGTGGGGTTCAAGTGATTGTACTTGTAGAAAACTAAGGATAAAACAGCTTTTGTTATACACGGCGACTCGAATGGAGGATCACCCAATGGACCACGAATAACAGCCTGCTGACGCGTGAGCACACACTGTCGCAGTAACCTGAATAGATACAGGTAAACCTTCTTTGTGTCCTCATCCTCAACGCGCTGCATGGACATGAATAGATTTTCCATGTCAATGATGGCGCCTAATAGCTCGTCCATACTAGATCTGGATATCTCGGTGAGATGAGAAATGTGGGACCGGAGCGGATGACGACAACTGGCATTTCGACACTCTTCAGTCGGCTCTGGGCAGTAAGACGACTCGACATCTCGATGCCTGTTCTCCTGGGGCGTCTTCCAGCCAGTGCAACGGCAGCCCTCAAATTGGCACGCCGAATACATGGATAATTTGGCGAGTTTCTGTGCTTCGGGCAGGTTGAATACCTTTTGCTTGCGTAGCTGGATGCGCTGCAGACTACTTTGACGTGTGCCTTCCGGAGCTGGCGGCACAGTGCCACTTGAAGCTTGGGATGAGGAGGATGAAGACGCTCCTGCTGCTGCATTATTTGCAGTTTGTTGCTGCTGTGCAGCAGCATTTCCGCTGTTGCCATTGTTACCATCTATTGGTTGACTTTTGAGTGTTATTGCTGGTCCACCGGACATGCCTAGTTGTAGATTGTAAGTTTTTGTTTTCAAAAACTTTATATTTATGCCTTGATTTCACAATCTGCGAAAATGCTGACGAGGGATGATGAAATAATACAGTTTCAAGGGATGGCGAGTTCAATACATATATGTATGTACTATGAATCACTGTTCAATGTTTATAGCTGACCTTTGTTGTTTAAGTAGCCACACAACTAATACAAAAAAGATATATTTATCTAATCTGGTATTTAATATAACGAACACCCTCCGGTTGAAATACAAATGACAATGGAATCAATGTCAACAGATTCAGCGAATGAACCGGAGCTAGCGCGAATGACATCAGCAACAAATATATCGATTTCGATTAATTTCCGATAGCTGGGCACCCAAATGCCAATTGAAATAAATATTTTCAAATAAAGGAAAGGTTTTTTTAATAAATCGTTTGTTTCATAAAATGTTACGATATGACAAACTTATCGGCCGACGACATTGAGGATCAGCTGGATAATTTTATCATACGAAAAACAAAGGATCAAGCATCAACTTATGTTCCGCGACAAAAAACCACACAAAGTGGAGAAAAGATATATGATCACATTCCATTACTTGTAAAAGATATATTAGCGTCCCAGCCAGATGCAGACAACAAAGGAGCCTTCACTCTGTTTAATCCCACTGAATTGAAGTATCACAGTTGTTTGGTGTACGGATTTGTAGCAGGTCGCGGTGTACATAACAAATCTTTTTACAATTACGTATTAGACGATGGAACTGGGTCAATAAAATTTAGAATCTATGCCAAGCCCAGAGAAGAAAAGATCATCAAGTGCCTCTACAATGAAGCCCAGTCCTTGATTGGCAGTGCGGATACTTTGAAATACGAGAAGATATCAACAAGCATGACTCGGCTCCTGGGTAAAGCCACGGAGTATATTGATGGCTCCAGAATATCGCCTGGAAGCAACGTCATGTTATATGCGCGTCCGCACAATTTTAAGGATCAAATTAGTTTAGACGTGATCTCATTTACTATGGACAACGAAAAGTCGCGCAGTCTGGAAATCGCCTTCAGTGGAAGCTTAATAGACTACTATCAAAGCCATACAAAATAAGTTGAGCTTTTGTATATATATTGAAATTTTAATCAATAAAAAATCCAATTAAAAGTATACAAGTAATTTATGTGGTTTTTGCTCGAATGGCGGCACGCTTGCCTGTGACGGCTTGGAAACCAGACTTAATGCTAGCAACGGAGCACCGAGAACCGCAGGATTCGCACTGTAGAAAGAATAGACGCGTGTCCTTTTGCAATATTGTCTCTGGAGAGCGGCAGGTGTGGCAGGTGACATATTCCTTAATATAGCGACGCAGCACATTCTCAATTTGCTTTGGCTGAAAGCGACCCTTGATAATCAATTGCTGGTTGCCGTCCATCGAGCCGCTTGTGCCCAACTCGGCCAAAAGAAAGTCGAGCAGATGTTTCGGCAGACGATGCAGAGTTTTCGCAATATCCATAAAGTTGGCAAACGATGTTTTCTTTGTGCCCACACGAAGCACTTGAGGTGGTCTCATCACGAACTTGGGCTTACGACCAGCTGCCATGTCTGGGTTCTTGTCCAGAATGATTTCGAAGACACGTTTCAGCAATTCGTCGTATGTATAATCGCGATCCGAACCAGCCCAGCTGCTGCTATTATCTTCAACTAAAAAGAAATTAATAAATTAATACTAATAAACAAATCATATTTAAATAAATAACTTACCGTTCTCTTTGTCTTCGCTTTTATCGTCGTCCACTTTGTCCGCAAACAATTCATCCAAGTCTTTCTTTTTGCTCTTTTTCTTCTTTTTGGCCATTGTAAAGTCCATGTCCAAATTAATCTCTTCTTCCTCGGGGTCTTCAGCTGCTGCAGCTGTGGCGTCGTCCGCGCCATCAGGCAACGCCCCTTCTAATTCATCCAAGTTAAAGGGCTTCTTCTTCTTCTTCTTCTTTTTACCGAAGCTTTCTAAATCCAGATTATCGTCCACCTCAGCTGCTGTTGAAACAGCGCTTGCTTCATCTTTGGGATCTTCTTTCTTTCCAGCATCGTCCAGTCCCAATGCGGCATCCAAGTCAAATGTGGTCTTCTTCTTCTTTTTCTTCTTCAACAAAGTAGGATCGAATCCCTAAAACATATTTTGAAATAACTAAATGTGTTAGCGAAATCGAGCACATTAAATATTTTGGCGAGTAGGTGAAATTCATGTAAATGTTAATCGAGCTCCATATGCGCTACATAACCTCACACATGAGGAACACAATTTACGATCTCGTAGTTTGTATATAATTGTTAATAGAAATACTTGCAATACACAAAACTTGACGACACTTACGTCTTCACCTTCCATTTTAGAAGATTTATGCCCAAGGAATAAGAGAACAATGTAAAATTTCAGCTATTCTTTATAGATGAAATTGCATCAGAAAATTTATACTTTAGTGACAGCAGGGCAGTTTGACGGCTTTGCTAAAGGGATGTTGTTGATTTTCTTATCGATATAGCTAGGCTATATCGATAGTATTTCTTTATCATCTGTTCGTTGGTATTATTTGTTTAGCATGTGTGATTTTAGATTCGAATTTTGGCGCACAGTTTAGATACATATTTTTTATGTGTAGTAACTGTGCTTGTTAGCTGATTAATTTACCAATTAAATAAAGCAGACAGGGCAAATTACAAAATATGTTTGTTATATATTTAACAATCGAAATTTTAAGTATAAAAAATATGAACACATTTTAAACTAGACAATGCAATTAAAATTAATATACTTTCTATACAGGATACAAGGGGAAGCACATCTAACGATATGTAAGCCTTTATAAATTTGAGTAAACTACGGATTTATATAGTTGTGACAGTCACAATATTGTGATAACAGTCTCCGTACTTTTTATTCTGGCAAGAATATAAAATCTCTTGAATTGTCTCAAAATACACATATTTGTAAAAATACATATTGCTGATACAGAGGTTCACATGGGTATATGACAGTGTAAAAGTACTTAAGAATAGGAACAGGCATATAGGTAAGCACCCCGACCTCTTTATTAGAAATTACTTCGATGCATTTCTGGCAATTTCTTAACAGTTGTAAATTATACAAAAAAATCTAAATTGAGAATTTTAGCTTATTTTTCTTTTGAAAACATAACAAATGCGATTATTACTACAATCTAAATGCATTTGTGAGTCATTGAAATTGGGTATACTTTAAGGCGGTGTATAAATTTAACATACTAGCTACATTTTCCCCAAAGTAGGATGTAAAATAAAAGCTATCAATTAAGCACGCCGGTTAAATGCGATTATTTGAGATTATGCCTAAGCACGCAAGCCTTCTCTAAAAATATTGACTACAAATGAGCATTGTTGCTTGGATTAACTAATTCCGGGCCGACTCCACCCGCAAGTTTTTGCACCAATCGTCCCACCTCGTATGCCAGCTGAAGGGTGTCCTGTAAGAGAGAAAGAAGGGGCATTTAGTATCTTTAGTTATATTAATTCCAAAATATCCTTACTTCTCTTGTTGAAGCTTCGGCGTATACGCGCACCACATCCTCTGTTCCGGATGGCCGCACAAACGCACGTCCACGTTTGTAGTTTGCAACGACTTGGTTGATTTCATCCTGTAGTCCCTCCGGCTTTACACAGACGCGTTCTGCATCTGTGGTCTGGATAACGTTTCTATCCTTGACTTGTATCTTAAGCTGTTGATTTGGCAGGTCCGCGTAACTCGAAATCCAGTCTTTAACATCCCAGCCCTTGTGATTCAAAATCGTTTCCACCAACAGCATATCGGAGATGGCATCGCCTACAGTTTCATTGATCAGATCTATTACGAGCAGCAGAGTCTGCGCTTTGGGGTTCGTCTTGGCAGCCTCGCTTATCGCTGCCTTACTACTATCGCTGAACACAATTGTGCCGTGGCCATTGGCCTCAAAGTAGATGCCAATATCGTACTCCAGGGCCTTGTGATGCAAGTGCTTAACACCTGTGGGCACACAGGAAACGGGCACCTTTAATTCGTTGACAATGTAATCTGTGGACGCGCCATTGGCATAAGCCGTCTGCACTAAGCCCAATCGCAGGTCCAGCTGGCAACTTTGAATCAAGTCCATCAGGTAGCCAGCCACTAGGGTGGCTATCCGGTCTCCGTCGAGCAGCCTAAACTGCCCCGTTTCATCGGTGAAAAAGTAGACCACACGGTCAGCATCGCCATCGACGCTGACACAGCGCGTATACGGTTCCACAATGGGCATGCCCACTGGAGGTTTTTGCTGCACCTTAACATGATCGGCCCCACACTCTTCGTTGATCTTGCCCGGTCCAACGCCCTGGTTTATAACCGTCACGTCAAGGGATTTATTCATGCGCTTGTTGAATTGCAGCATTTTCCTAGCACCCACTCCGTTTGCGCCATCGAAGATCAGCCGATTGCGATAGTTGCCATTCTCCAGCTGGCCATTGCGAAGTTTCTCAAAGGCGGAAATAAGCTTATCGTAGTAGCCTTCCTCCGTGGGCTTGCCATACGCCTCTTTTGTGTTAGCTGCCACTACAAAGAAGTGCATCATTGGCGTGGTGACTATGCCAAATTCTCGTACGTTTCCCTTCAGTGCGATGACACCATCTGCCACAGCTTTGAGCAAGCGTGGGCTATGATAGCGATTATCCATACCCACGTAGACATAAGAGCTAGAGGTAATATCGATTTGGTTATCCTTAATTATGTTAGCTACATGCTGCTCTAGTTCTTGGTCGCTAACGTTCACCAGATCTGTGGCAATCTTCTCCCAGCTGGACTCCAACATTTCACCCTTCGGATCGATCAGCTTAACGCCATTGTCGGGCTCCGGATTGTGTGAGGCTGTGATCATTACGCCAATGACAGAGCCCTCTCTAAACCGGGAGCGTAAAGTGGCCAACACGCCCATACGGAACATAACGCTGTCCAAAAGCTCGGCTCTGTGCAAAAAGAAGATATCGATGTTCTTGATTATTATCAGTTATGAAGTAAGCATATATAATGGTGTTGTATAGTAAATATACAGAGAAACAAGATAACGTGTATATTTATGTGATTCTTGGTCATACGAGTAGTATATGTATTGCCCCATATGTGATCTTTCATCGTTAACGGTTGAACGTCTTTATTATCATTTCGAAATTCGAATGCATTCGTGCAAGAAAGTCTCGCCAGCACGTACATATATAATATTCTGATATGTATTTGTGTTTTTATGTGCTCTGCTTTGAAAAAGTATGTGTGCTTTCCAGCGTATGAGTAACTAAACATAACATTGTTCTTGCGTGTCTAGGCGTTCAAATAGGCCGCCAAGAAGAATGATTGATTTTCTAATTGGAGGTTAAGTTCTTTTTAGTTGCCTAATGAGAAGTGAAATATATAACTTTAATTTATAATAATTAAAAATTCTTTAATGGGAGTTGAGTTATTGACAACGTGTAACGTTCGTCACATTTACTAAGATTAATTATCTATACATGGAGGCTTGGCCCTACATACATATGTAGGTACCTTTAAAAGGTGCATGTCCATTGATAAAGCAAGAAATTCTATTAATATAACAGAATGCCAAAATAGTGCATCGCCTTACTCATCTTCACCACTCCCTAAGAGACTCACATACATATGCACACTTATCTAGCAATATGCGGGTGAGTGTGTTTGTGTGTGTCTTAATGTCGTGTTTGTTCGCTTGGGTGTGGGCGTGGACATTCACCCAATTGGACATATGTATTCGTATATATGAGGCAATTTATATGTACATATGTATGTAGCTAAGGATAAGTAAACTCACTTGCCGCGAAACCCAGCTGTTCCGTATTGAATGGTTTCCTTTGATACTTTTGGATACATTTCTCTCGCAAAAGCGTAAACGGTGCGCAAATTGATAGACATGTTGATAACTGAATTGCTGACTCGATATCTCTGTGGCACTGACGATCCTTGTGAAAGCTCGCAACCAGTCGCAAAACTACTTTCCGTTTTCACCTTGTTGTTGTACTAAAAGTAGCCCACATATAAGAAACCGTCGAAAAGCAACGCGTGTCAGTGCGCGAACCAGCTGAATGAATGTGAAGAGGAAGAAAATGTCAATACCATCGAAACGTTTGCAGACGCGGTTTCACCACAGCAGTGACGTCACCATTGCGAGTTTGTTGAATTTGCTTTTTCAAAATCTATTTTAATTTTTAGAAGAAAAGACAATACTCAATCTAAAAAAGTTTATTCAATATATCTATGTATGTATAATTCTGATAGTATATAAAAAACAATACCATGTAATTACACTTTAGACTTGCAGATAAAATGTGTTCTTGGACGGTTTGTAAAATATAATATAATTTAAATTTAGAGGACGGAGTTGAACGTTGTAGATTACAAAATTGTACTCTGATTTGTAATATTGATCTTTATAACTTAATATTAAATTATTGTACATTTAGTATATAGTATAATTTGTAGCTGCATTTGGAATGATAATTGAAATTTGTATAAACAATGGACTTGTTTAAAATAGATTTTAAGGCACTTTAGTCAGAATGGGCCAGACCGACAAATTGCATTGTGAACTCTGTGATTGGTGTACATTTAGATATGTTTGTTTGTCATTTGTTGTGAGATTCACAATGGATATTCGAATTGTTACGAGTCAATATGGGTGAGGTTAACCTATTTGGAGTATGATATAGAAATTTAGAGATTCTACTTATGCAATCAGAGTAAAATTCTAAGGGCAAATGCACTCGCTAGGAGCAGGAATGTGGAGAAAGTGAACTGAGTGGCACTGGCATAGCAATCAGTGATGCGACGTGCTCTCATGTAATTTCCACCCAAATAGGTGTCGTACCGTCGTTCGTTTGGCTGAATAACTTGCAGTTGGCGTGTGGCGTCTTGGAAGATTAGATCGTAGTGTCCAATGGGCGATGAGAACATGCTGAAACTGAAAGCATCCACGTCCTTGCGACCATACAGCTGCTGAGCATAGGTCAGCAGGTTGATGTATGCATGTAATTGTGTTTCATTGTAGTTCACGCCGCCTCGGGTGACGACAGCGTTAGCCTTCACTTTGCCCAAATTGCAGCGTTTATAGTCCTGGAGCTCGGCGCGAGTACCATCGGTACACAGCAATTCAAAGTCGTCGTTAAGGGCGTTTCTGGCCCACCACTCTTTGCGCTTGCCTCCGGTGCTCTCCATGACAGTGGTGTGCTTCATGAATGCCACATGGCCGCCGCCTTCGACGAGGCAGCGGAAGGCACCAGTGTGTCCATAGTAATCCTCTGATGCATCACGTCTACAATATCTATAACTGGTTCCATGGCACAGGTCACACATACTGTCATATGGGACGCCAGTGTTGTATTCACTGCTTATAGCACCGGGCACACAAGATTTGGTAAAGTATTCTGCTGCAGCACGTATCGAGTCACAGCCATAGGGTCTTATCCAACCGTTCGAGAGGAGGAAGGCCATCGGATATGTCCAGCCTGCGGCTGTATTGATGCCTGTGTGGCAGGTGTACTTGCCCTTTAGATAAGTAAGCTCCGTATCGGGATCTTCCTCCTTGGCCACAGCCACCACATAGTATTCAGGCTCACCCAAGTTGTATACCTCAGACATAAATGGAATCAAGTCGTAGTTCAAGCCAGCCGTATAGACATCTCCAGCATCAAACACAGATATATCAGCCTTTCCAGACTGTATCAGCTGCATGCAGTTTATGTGCGAATGCATTTTCTTGCAGATCAGCTCGGGTTTCAGGATTTGTGCTTTGAGTGCGGTCTAGAGAAGGAAATCAATTAATATTAAATAGGGATTAAGAAGACGTTTATCTAACTTACTCTCATCTTAATGCATTTTTCCAGCTCTGGCTCAGAAGTCACACATAGCGTCATTGCAGGAACGGGACACTCACGAATGCCGTATATGTAGTCAATAGCTCGTTGCAAGTATTTGGTAAAGGATTGATCATCCTCTGGTATGGAAACAAGGGCTCTGGCTGCATCCTATTAAATTAAATTGGAGTGTTAGATTAAAATACTTAATAACATATTTTTTATGTCACCTGGAAGAGCAGATTGGATTTGCCATATCGCCTCGATTCAAAAATGCGGAATTTCTCATAAGGCACTGAAGTGTTTCCCTCAAGTCCACTGCGCTCTGTGGTAAAGCTGCTGTCTAGGCGTTCATTGCGATAATTCGAGCCATCAAATCGATCATATGGATTTTGGTTCTGATTTCTATTGTAGGGATTGTTGTTGTCGTACTGACTGTTGAAATTGTCATATGGATTATTACGGCTTTGATCGTTGTAGTTGTTACGATTCTGATCGTTATAGTTGTTGCCATTGTATGTATTATATCCTCCGCCTGTCTGAGGCTGATTGGGTTCCTCACGAATCCCGTCTGAATACAGCTCAGCGACGCGTTTCAGGAATTGCTGATATTGATTACGCTCTTTGAAGCTACGCGCTGACGAAGTTACAATGGCATCTGAAGGAATTTGACCCCAGCTACATTGCCGATAGTCGTTGATGGGCACACGACTTCCATCGCGGCAGAGCAACTGAAAGGTGTCTGGCGACAGTTTTTCTAAACGGGAATAATAGATTAATCTAATAATAATATAATCTTATACGTTTTGTTTTGGACTACTCACTAAATTCTGGTGTTTGTAGCATTTCGGAAACCGTAGCGTGCCGCAAAAATGCTACCTCGCCCGCTTCCAGAAGGCACCTGAATGCACCATCGTAGCCAAAATAGGGATCAGTCGATGAGCAGCGTCCAGGTATTTTGCCAGTACATAGAGCACAAAGCCTGGAGAGTAAACATAATTGTGAAATGATCGATACATAAAAATCTAAATCTTCTTACTTATCAGAGTTATCTCCGATGGGATTATATCTATCAATCAACGAGTGGACGGCGCAGGAGCTGTTAAAATAGTTGGCAGCGGTTTTCACTTGATTATTGCAATCTACAACCTCCATTCCGCCATTGTGTTGCAGCTGGAATAAAGATGAATGAAAGCATATTAATAAATATTTACTTAGACAAAATTAAGAATTTTTCGCACCGTATATATGGGCACTATCCAACCAGCTAGACTGCCCACCCAGGGGAAGCAGGCTCTCTTTTGGCGCAACTGCCGCAGATCCGTAACGTCGGTTAAAGTATTCTTCTTTATAACTGCCACTGAATGATAGTCTAGAAATCCGCCTTCCAATTTCTCTTGCATTATGGGAATCAAGGAGTTGTAGCGACCGGCGGTAAAGACATCTCCAGCATCCAATGTGGTGATATGTGCCTTCTCGCGATCCAAGAGATGAATGCATTCATCGGCACTGTATGCCATAAGACAGGTGAGATTCAAGAAGACATCATCGAAGAGAGCACGATCCCGTTCGATGGCAACGGTTAAATTCTGGCATTTGTACTGCTCCTCTTGGCCTTTTGTGCACCAAATAATATTGCTGATTTTATCTTCAGAATAGTGATGTTGTGCTATAATTATAAATTAAATATTAATATTTTAAATTTTGGCTTTAAGTTAATTAGTGACGCACAGAGATCGATATTTGTGAGACAACTTGTTACGCTTAAATAATATATAAGGCAATGTTATTTACAGCACATTTTATCAAGCTACATTTTGAGAGTATAAATATACTTATTGTTTAAATCTGGCTAAAAGAATGGCTTATTAAATCAGACTTACATGCGTACACACACACTCACAAACACACGCATACAAAATATGTATGTTTTACATGCAGCAACGCCCAATGTTTAGTCAGCGAGCTAGACAAATGAACTTTGACTTACCGTAAGTTGTAGTAAAATAAACTGCGCTTAGTAAACTTATAAGCAATAACAATCTAGCCATTTTACACATTTATAGCAGTACACATTTAGTTTAAATATATATTAAACAAAAAATAATTACAAACGAAGTGAACCTAACAACAACGACACGCCCGCAACTGCTACGGTAATCGATGTTTGTTTGTGTTTTTCATTTGTCATCGATAGAATATGCGATAGTTTTGGCCTCGATGTTTGCATAGGAATTTTGTCAATTTTTAGTCCATTTGGTCATCAAGCAGGTGTTTGTTTTATAATAGTAAATAATGAAATTAATTTAGAATTACATTAATTCTGTTTTGCAGTCTAATGGCAACTTTACGCGGTTGGAGATTCGTTGGCTTTGTGTCATGCATTGTCGGAGCAATTGGAGTTACTTTATATCCAGTTGTTGTGGATCCCATGATAAACTCAAAAAAATATAAATCACTACAAGAGCACATCAGCAGTCATGCTAAATAAAAGTATATAATATTGCAAATAATATGTATTACATTACGATATATCCTCAAGTGTAAATAAATATTAATATTATACCATAACTAGATATTGCGCAAAGAAATGTGAACAGCTGTTTTGAGCGCATTTCGCATATGTATGTGTAATTAACCGGCGTACCCATTGTTAAATATATGTATGTATGTACGTACGAATAAATGTTAAAAGATTCAATTTTTCATTGCATTCGGTAAGAAATGATCGTAGAGTGAACATCGCAACACACTTGACAGTCTTATCAGTTCCGTTAAAACAGCTGACTCAATCCAGTTTATTTATACACATACGTGGTCAATTCTGAGTAACAATTGTAGGTCTTCGTCTGTTTTAAAATGTCAAAGCGCGAGGATATTTTGCTGTTATTCGATGTGGATGGCACCCTGACTATGCCCCGCTCAGTGGTCCAGCCCGAGTTTGAGGAATTCCTTTATACAAAAGTGAAGCCAAAGGCAACCATTGGTATTGTTGGTGGGTCGGATCTGGAGAAAATGTTCGAGCAGCTCAATGGCCAGAAGATATTGAAAGAGTTTGACTTTATATTCCCCGAAAACGGTCTGGTGCAAATCGAAGCTGGCAAAGAAGTGGGCAAACAAAATATTATACAGCATTTGGGCGAGAAAACTCTGCAGCGTTTTATCAACTATGTGCTGCGATACCTCTCGGAGTTGGAGCTGCCCATTAAACGTGGAACGTTTATTGAGTTTCGCAACGGCATGATGAACGTTTGCCCGATTGGCCGACAGTGCACCAGGGAGGAGCGCAACATGTTTGCTGCCTACGACGAGGAGCACAAAGTTCGATCGACAATGATTGCCAAGCTGAAGGAGGAGTTCGCAGATATCGACCTTACATTCAGCATTGGTGGCCAGATAAGCTTCGATGTGTTCCCTCATGGTTGGGATAAGACCTTCTGTCTGCGCCACATCGAGGAGTATCATAAATTCAAAGAGATTCATTTCTTCGGCGATAAGACCGAACCGGGTGGCAATGATTACGAGATCTATATCGATCCTCGTCTTAAAGGACATAAAGTTAACACTCCAAATGACACGAAGAGAATACTAACAGAGCTTTTGAATCTTTGATGACTTTTATTTGTATGATTCCAAATGAAAACTTTGCATTTTCTATATGTTTTGTAAAATTTTATGAATATATATAGTTGCTTCAATAGGCGAGTGCCTTTCAACATTTTTTATTTTTTGAGAGATTCTTTTATAGATATACTATGTATACATCTGCGTGAAATATATATTAATTATGTTATCATATATAAAGTTATATAAAGTAAACCCTTTTTAGCTTTGTATTGCCTAATATTAGATAATGCCTCATGGAATTATTGGTATGTTTCGTTTATGAAAGGTATTTTAAAAATGTATACATTGGTTAGAATTTAGGATCTTAGGATATTATTGTTAACTGAATTACGACCGTTGACAGACCAATTGGAGTCAAATCCACAAGCTGAATCCGAATCGGAATCGACTGTGATTCCAATGTTCTTAGGAGCACGTATTTGATTTGGAGTAGTTGGCATGCTGCTGTAGCCAGAGTTAAGGTTCGAGCTGGAGTTTGAGGAACAAATGGAGTCACGAGGTGAGTCGGTAGCATTTGAGGCATACGATGAACGTTTAGAAGACTTGTAGCGCTTCGAGACGTAGTCAACCGATTTCGGTGGTGGCATTAGCGTGTCGGGACGCTGTGTTATATTATCGGCTGAGCCCCACGATTTGTGTACAGTGTCATATATATTCCGATTAATTGGCACACTGGACCGGGAGCCCAGCACATTAGTCGAGCCGTATGGTATTGTCGTCGATGCTCTCTGATTCGGATGCCGATCCCGTGTCGTACCATTGGCATGATGTGGATGACGCTGATGATGGTGACGGTGAGTTCGCTGGTGATGGCGACCCGCTTCGATTGGGGCTGCTCCGGAGACTCCGCCAGGTCCATACGCCGTCAGGGCATTGCCATTGCCCACTCCCAAGAAGTTGCTGAACGCTTCGGTTGTTTTCTTTACCCGGACATTCAACGAACCAATCCGCAGGAAGCCCAAATCTTTTTCGACTGAAAATATGATGGAATCCATTTAGAATCTATATATTATAAATTCGAATTAGTACTTACTTGCATGCTTTTTTCGTGCCTTGATTTCTGCAAAGATAAATTAAAGATATTTATTATTTAACACATTTGCTTATAGAAGAGCTAAACATGCACATGCTGTTAACAATTAAAAATGATAAATATGTAAACCATAACAATATTATATATTTTTTGTTTTCTTTGGAAGGACAAATGAGTTTTGCGATATGGAGAATTTTTTAAAAAGTAAAAAACTTACCAAGCAAGGAAAACAAGTAAAACAGGCAGCAAATGCTTTTAAAAACTAAATTAAATTTAAGTGTGCTACAAAAGCATTTTTAACAATATTCAAAGATAATTTTAAGAAATTATAAAATATATATATATATACATAATAACAGGCGAACGAACAAAAGACCAACTTTTATTGAACATTAATCGTTGGCAAACATTCAAAATCTTTAGTTAAGTCAACCTGCCTCCAGGTTCCATTGAGTCCGTTTGAGTTGAGCCGCATCGCTTGAATTTCTACACGTTGTAATAATGAAAATAAATATAGAGAGAGAGGTGCCCAGAAATTCTTTTTAGATATTTGAGAAATTACAGGGAAGTAGAAGAAGTATTCTTGATGGCATTCAACACTTGCCAGATTTCAGAGAAGTTAGTTAATGTTATTAAGTTGTCAAGTCTTGACTCACTTGAGCACTTGCTGATCATCGTAATCAGTTCGATCAGTTGCATTAAGACCACAATTGTTTAATACAAATTTAGTTTAGGCATGCAGTTTGAATAACATTTTTATGATAAATGAAGGTATTACAAAACAAGAAGTGCTTGGGTAGGTAAAACTCTAGAAAACTCTGGCAAAGCGTATTATACATACATTGTTAAATAACATGCAATACAACGACGAATCTAGAATCTAGACAGTACATCATGTCCTTGCTTTGAATGGGCAGGTGAATCAGATGAAATGCCTAAAGAGACAGTTTTTGGTTTAGCCCTGACTAGCCATATGTTGCATATTCTTTAATATAAGGTTACTTGATTATGGTTATGCGTGTTTTATTTTAATTTTTAATTCAAGCTTCAGTTAGTACTTTAATATATATGGCTATAAATTATGAATTATGTAGGTTTAAAATCCTTTGGTAAGCCAGTCGGCATATTTCATATACAAGTTGAATAGCTTAGCTTTACATTATAGTTTCTTTGTTAATACATTTGCTGATGCTTTGGCTATAACTGGGCATATCGATGTATATGTACATAATCTATATACATAGCTATTTTCGACTACAGTGTAAGTTATATAGTAAATAGTGCATAGGTTATTTGGTGCATGCTGGGATTATTTGCTAGTTGGGTTAGTAACAACATTTGGTGGGGTTCGGCTCGCACCGGCAGCGGACCGAAACGTTTTACGCAAGAAGCTCTCTTTGCGCCGAGCGTATATGCTGCGTGCTCTGGTTGCTTGGGTCTTTGGCGCCTGCACGCCAGCATCGCCAGGCTCTCGTTTGTCGCGTCGCTGCGTGGACTCTGCATCGCTGTCATCATTGGATCCTTTACCGAGCACACTCTGCACCGATGGCTTTTTATAGCGCTGATATGATGATGGCGATGCCAACAGAGATTGCGTACGAGTCACAGCACCGAGGCCCGAGCCACCGCTAATGGTGGCATAGTTGCGCAGCTGAGATCGCTTCTTGCCACGTGTTAGTGCGCTGCCGAGTGTGCCGCCCTTGGTCCCATTGCCACCGCCATTGCCAGAGCTTGAGAGTGGAGTCTCAAGAACGTGCTGGTATCCCAGTTGGTAGTTGTTGTTTAGCTCCGTGCCAAGGAAATACTTTTGATACTCACTGCTGCACGTTGAGGCCGAAACACTGGGTCGCTGTCGACTGTAGTCCAATGGCTTATTGCCACTCCAGTCCATTATGTCACGATTAGCCTCTGCAAGCGTCGAGATGTTAGTATGATTGAATCAATAAATAATAACAGTTTTTCATATATTTTGTATTAGTTACTTATACATACTATAAACATTCCATAGTAGCTCGAATATATTATGCCTTCCAAATTGTGTAGCCAAGTGTAACGGTGTATAGCCCTATAAAGGAATTACCAGTTCATTAGCAAGATCAATTAATAATCCAGGCTATATACAGTTTGGTATTAAACAAGACAATAAACAATAGTTTATTCAATTGATAGAATGGAAATAGTATTGTTGTTTCAAATTTCGTTGCAGAAAAAAAAAGTTCTCTAAGAATGTCTTCGAAGGATTTCCACAAAGTATTTTCACAAATTTATTTCTTCTAAGTGTTTTCACAAAGTTTTTTCCTCAAAGTAATTCCTTTCAGTATTTACTCCAAGAATTTCCTCCAATAATTCCCTTTTATGCTTTAATGCTTAGCTGAACGATCACACTTCACTCCACTTCACTTTACTGCACTGTACGAGTGGCCCCCACCGGGCCTGGGCGACTGAAGAAATGCTACAGCTGATGCCCTTTATATAGGGCGACTTTCACTCAACGTCAAGGTCGCGCTCAGAGAGAACGACGCCAGGTAGAGAACGTTGCAGTAAGTGACCAATGGGAGCCCTCTCTGCTTCTGCAAGCATTCTAGTGTAGTTTTGCTCTTATATAAATACCAAACCAATGCTGCTGCTTACACATAGAGAACTTAAATGACCTTCAGTGGTTTTTCTCCGTCTCTTGCTCTTAATATGCCAAATAGCCTATGTATATTAATATTTATGATTATAATATGTTTTAGACAGCAGTCTCTTCTGTTCTATAGTTCTCTTAGTAGTACTAGTACTTCTGTATAGTCTGTTTCAATTTCTGTATGTGTGTGTGTGTGTAAGCACAAAAGAAACAAAGAATGATTGAAATATCAGTCCTTCGAAGAACAGCTTCGACTCAAACTTTCTAGCTGGCTTTATAATATTTTCTGGCATATTAAAATAGCAGCACTTGGAACCCTTTTGGCAAGATGCGTAACAAATCAGTTGGAAATTCATATTAAATTGAATGTAACACATTCGTCGTGATTGACAATTCACTTTGTCTCAATTTTTGGAGACAGACATTTGGAAAACATTTGAGGGAACTTAATTTGTTTCGAACAACGGCAACGTTTCAATTTAAAATTGTGTAATCTCGCATGCATAGACAAAGGCGGTGGCAGGAGGCCGGAGCCAGCCAGGGGAAGGGGCACGTGTTGTGGCACAATTGGATTTGCTCGTCACGATTTGTCACAGCTTGGCTGGGCTCTCGGCTGCCTCATGGGAAGGGTTAAAGAAGTGTTTTGCCGTGCGACATGTGACGCAGATTTTCGCGTGATTGTGACAAGGCTCAATCACTCGAAGCGCGAAGCGCGATGCTCGATTTTCGACTCGTATATATTATTAAAAAGTATTTGATAAAAGACACTTACCCCATGCTGCAGCCAATATATAGATGTATACGTCGACAGTTGGACAGACAACATGCGAATTAAAATCAAAAACATTTCAATTATTTAGGTATTATGGATATTTGAAGCTCTCACCGTTCGGGCATTGACATCCGCTTTGTAGGTGCCGGCAATCAGCTTGACCACATCCTCGTTCCCATGCTTGGCAGCCCAGTGTAAAGCGGTCTGCAAGGAGTAGAGTTTAATTAGTTAACTGACTAATCGTTAGCCGATACAATGCCATATTATATATATGTATATATTAATATAAGCAACGAGATGGAGAGAGAGAGAGAGAGACAGTTAACAAGCAGCAGGGCGTCGGTGTCCCAATATGCTGCACTTCGGGAACTATTTGTTCGGCCATCAATTGCTGTCGCTCCATCGAAATGGAGAACAAGGATTCCACTGAGCTCAAGATTATACGATATAAATAAATTGGCCAGCCACTGCCGAATGCCGTATGCCGAATGGCGAATGGTGAATACCTTTTGCCTCAATTATTTTCATGTTAACATAATAATTTAGTAAGGCGCAACGATTCGGGCCGCTCAGATAAGAGACTGAGCCAGGCGATCGCCGCGAGTGCACGATGATTTTCTATAGAATTGTTTGCCACGGCAATGCTACGTACCACGACGACGTACCACAAAACCATGTGTTGACAATGAAGACGGTCACTTTTTTCATGAACGGCAAAGACAAACAAGCCGAGCGGCAGCAACAGATTCAGAGACACTGGAACAACATTGAAATCGAACAGAGAGAGAGAGAGCGAGAGAGAGAGAGAATGAGAGAGAGAGATATAGAGCGAGAGAAGAGGTTGACAGTACAAATAGAGCTACAGCCAATTCCCGCTGCCGATCGGTATGTAATTCTTTTCAAGGGAAATTTGTATCGTGTCTCTCGCAGTTTGAAGCTGCAGCCAGCCCAGGGACTGCCCTGACATACAAACATGTATATATGTAGGAATGTATGTATGTAGCTACTATTCGCGTTCGATGCATCTTAATCTGCACTGTTTGGCATTTAATCTCAGCCCATTGTCTTAGCCTTTCGTGGAGAAATGTGCCCACAGAACAGAAGCTACACACAAACAGCTACGACTATCTTATCAACATTGTCTGCCGATTTACGATATGTATTTCTTCAGGTGAATTAACATTGAAATCCTTTACTTAAGCTGTATAAGTAGTTGAAGACACTTTACTGAAATTATACAAATATTTTAGTTTTTAAGTGGTTTACTTAAAGAAAACTAAAATTATTTCTGGGCTGATCAGATCATTATCCAAAACTGTCTCTAATCAAAGAAGCCCATTCTCTTTCTTTTATATATAATGTCCAAGTGCGCAATATACCCTATTGCAAATGTTGCCGATGAGAGGCGATGCTTAATAAGTTTCTGATAACAATTCAAATGAGGTGTGAAGTCATGAGGTTGTGATTATCGCTTTGTCATAAGATAGGATGCAAAGGCCAAGAGTGGCTCGGCTTGGATTTACAAATCGTCTCACGCGCAAAGTAAAGAGCTGCGATTTTGGCCATTTCGTGAATGTCGCCTCTAGAGCTGAGCCTTGGGGCTTTGGGCTTTGGGCTGGCTTAGGCTCTTTACATATGGCATGTTGTCCGTCTGCACGTTTAAATTTATTGTCCATTCCATTAATGGTGGCAAGGGACAGAAATTCTGCGTCTCTGACAGTGAAATGCCATAAATTCTTGCGTCTCGTTCAGTCTGTGGCAGCATTGTGTGTGAGTGTGAGTGTGTTTGTGGATGGCCAACGAGAAACAAAACAGAGCGATTTGCTCTCCAGACCCAGAGTCAGAGCCAGAGCCACAGCCTGAGCTACCAAGTCGTGGAGGCATCCGACGGTGTTGGCGATCGATGCTAAAGGGAATCCAGCTGCTGCTGCTGCTGCTGCTGCTGCTGGAAACGCATTGTGCAGGAATTCCAGGAGTATGGTACACAGAGAGTGTACGTATGTCCAGGTCGTGAGACAGCCAGCCATGGTCCTGGCCTACAGTGCCTCACGATCATAAAAGGATGGCCCAAATATTTGTCACTCGTTTGGTCCGCAGAGTGCAAAGTAGTTGTGAAGGTGTCACAGCTGGAATCCGATATGGTAAAAATGCTGTGATGGTATTTGCTCATCTGGATCATGGCCATGACAATAGATGATTGAGAGCCCAGATAGCAATTTGCGATGATAATCTACAGCGCGCACAAAGAACACAGCACAGAAGCATTGCATCGAAATGTGAACAAATTTACCTGAATGCAAAGCCCTGTGAGAGATAGCTAAATATTACGTGAAATGCATTGGATTTGCTTAAAGTTTGTCAGGGCTTGATGTCTGTATACAGCTTGATCATAATTATATATTTGTATTAATTTTGGAATGATATTCTCGTTGATCTACTTAGTAATCTCTTCTCACTTTTTTTGTACAGTATTGACCAAGAGATCATGCATTTTTCTAGCTTGATCACTGCTGATCTCCCCGTTGATCATTCTCTTCATTGATTTCCCACTTTTCCCCAAAGTACCTATCGTTGGATTATCAACTTTTCTCGCTCGATTGTTTGTTGATCTTTTCTTTGATCTATCTGCTCAGTTCTCCACCTCCTCCTTCTCTCCTCTCCACACTGATTAAGTCGATCACTGCTGATATCCTCTTGATTGCTTTCCTGTTCTTTCTAATTACAACTACGATCATCAAGTTTACAATGTTGATCACTGCTAATTTCCCCATTGAGACTTCTCTTCATTCAGCTTCTCTCCCCTTTCCACACTATTGAAGTTATGATTGGCAAGTTTTCTAGTTCGATCACTGCTGATTTACCCTACAATTAGATTGTATATATTATACTTACATACTGTTAGCCGCAAGTTCATAGATAGTCACAGTCCAGAATAAGAGGCACATGTAAAGAAAGAAGAAATAAAATGAGTTTCTCCATAAAAGTGAATGAAGATATCTGTATAAATAATTGCTGAATAAACAAGCTGACAAACGGAATGTAGTTAACGTAAAAAAAAAGATTATGGAACTAGTTAGGTTTTAGCTGATTATTAACTGCTAAACATAGCTTTCAAGTGGAGCTGACATTGCGCCTTAACAATTTAATAATACATTTTGGCAGGCCTCAACGGCAATTACGGAGTCAGTGGCAGATGCACTCGGACGCCTATGGCTGATGTCAGACGCGGAGTGAATGTCCTGGCCAGGACATGTTTGTAGCTTCCCCTAATGGTGCCAACTATGATAATGAGGGTCATGCGAGCTGGAATGTGGGCTGGCAACAGTGCCTGCCTGCCATTCATGTACACAGCTACATACGTTCCGTTTTCAACATTTTTTGCGCCAAAAACGCTGTGGCCTGCAAAGAAGTCGCTCGAAGGCGTTTTTGATCGAAATTCGATATTACGTTGATAAGACACGAGCTGCCACGCAGACTTCCAGGCCTTCGGTAGACCTGTAGACCTGTAGACCTGTAGACCTCTAGACAGGTAGACCTGTAGACCTGCGGACAGTGGGCAACCGGAATCTTTTGGCACATCCAGTAGCTGTCGTTTTGATCGATCGCCGGCACATGAAAAATGTCATGTTTAACATGTATTTTGCTGGCTGTAATTAAGGTCGTCTCACATCCGAGGCGCTGCCAGCTCTTCAATGTAATATGAACTTTAAAGGACATTTAAGTACGTGCCAATTGTTTCAAGCAATTCATTTATCACAACACTCAGCAAGCATTTCATGGCCCAGTTCGCCTCAACAATCCAACTAACTATCCATTACATTTTCCACATAGTTAATGACTATTTAATTGTGTTGGTTTTTTCAAATAATTTTCAAATACTTACACCCTGATATTAGCAGTTGAGCAGTTCAGGTTGATGTCATACGCACAGTTGGGGCGGTAGGAAATGAAAGAGAGAGAAAGAGTACATGAAAAATTAGATCTTAATTGTAGAAGATGCTTATCGCCTATACACAAAAAAAAAAAAAAACAAGAATAAAACTTTTTTGGTTTCTACTTTTAGTAATTTAAATGATTATAAAAAAAAAAAATGTCTTTGAATGCAGGCAAATGAAAATACTTTCGCCTGTTACTTCATTAAATTATAATGTAATGATATATAATAATGCATAATACATATAATAATAAAATCAATAATATTATAATATTTAATGTCAATCAAAATAAATGAAAGAACTATGTAATTCTTCTGTTTAGATCATCAGGAATACGATCAGACATTTCTTTTATAGTAACAGAGAATATTTTAGAAATTAAAACTTTCTTATAAACAAAAATAAATTTTATATAATTTGCCACCTTACGAAATAATAGTCTTTGCTTTTAAATAATTATTTTTACTTTAAGCTTACATTTAAATATAATTATACTACAGAACGAAACTATTATACCAATTGGCATGGAAATCATTTAAATCAGATCGTTCTGAACTAAGTCCCAAAATTATGATTAGCATGCACGCCATATCAATATCATGATGTAAAGGACACTGAGCCGAACAAAACAAGGTGAAAACCAATCGTAACTTGGAGCTAGTAAACTAAAATGTGTGCTAGTTCTCAGGATAACACGGAACACGCATGTGAAACAGATGCAATTATTTTCTCTTTATGGGCATGAGCCTGGTATCTAAAGTGCAGATTAACTAAATTGATTAGAAATTATACGAGCTGCCTCGCCTTGACCCAATCACAATCAAAAAGCAGGCAAGAAACAGCGGCTAATTTCCAGCGGGCCATGTTAACTTGCCAATGCGTACGCGCACACCCCACCGAATCGGAACAACAATAATCGGATAACAAAAGCAACAACAACAGCAACAACAACAGTAATAACAAATGAAACAAATATAAAAAACAATAATAATGACAGCAAAAGTCCTCGCTGCGTGGCTATCTTTGGCAAACAATCTAAATGATATATTAAGCGCTCTCTGTTTGTCGCCCTCCCTCTCTCTCTCTCTTCGTCTCTCTCTCTCCCTCTCTGTCACTCTAGCGTTCCCTTTCCATTTCCATTTCCCTCGCGAGTTAAGTTCTCCAATTATGCGGATTATTAATTTAACTGGGTCGCTGGTTAGAGTGGACCTTATTTCCCTGCCCTGCCCGTTCGCTCAGGCTTGTGTGCTTTTTGTTGTTGTTGTCTCTCGTTGTTGTTGTTGTTGTTGCTGGCCACTGGCAGTGACCACTTGTCGTTTCACAAGTTGTCAAAACTTGTCATTTAACCGACAATGAGCCTTGTTTGCTTTAATCGTGGTTATTATGCGTTCGCCCGAACCGTCTCTGAATTATTAATGATACCAGAGCATATATATACCTGGGCAGGTGCTTCAACTTCATGCCTGAATATATATATGTGTGTGTGTGTGTGTGAGAGTCTCTAATTAGTTGCCAGCGCAGCTTATACTGAATCGACTGTATGGATTTTATTTTTTTTGGTTAATCCTAAGCGATCATGATTTATGCTTTCATAGCTTCTATAACTTTCTTTTGATCATTAATCAGGCTTATTTCTCACTCTGGCCAGCTTCAAGTCGTTTCTAACTTGTGCTAAATGACATTTTTTGTTGCCGTTGTTGTTGTTGTTGTTATTGTTATTGTTGATCAATTCTTTAATTGGTTTCCCAACGGCTCATTTGTCAATGGTGCAATCGATAAACTCGCGGACAGGTGGAATATCCTGCACACTGAGGCAGCTCACGTCGTCGCCTGCGCCTGCCTCCTGATCCTGTTCTCTGCCCTCTGATGTCCTGATGAGGGTTGCTTTTCAGTTTTGACATACTGGTGTCGCCTGCGGGGCTGGCGCATGCGCATCCTTAGTTTAGCAACAGGTGATCGCAGCTAGCTGATCGAGTTGAGGTGTTTTTTTCTTGCTTTGTTATTAAGTTGTTAAGCTAAATTATTGTTTTTTCCTTTATTTCTTATTTGATCTTTGAGTTTTTGTTTCCTTTTTTTTTTATGAGTGCTGCCGGCGACATTTAACAGTTCATGCATTTATATGAGCTGTTGCAAAACTCTTAATGGCCATTAAAATTGAATATATTTATATTTGGCTTTTTTTGTTTGTTTCTTTTTTATATTTTAAAGGCCTTCAGATTCAAGTTAAGAATTTAATAATGTTAATTGATTTTAAAGAATTTTTCTGATAAATTTTAGTTGTAATTCTTAATGAATTTAATTGGCTTTTCAAGACGTGAAGGATTTTGGATTGGATTAATCAAAGATCAAAGATAATAAAACATAAAACTTAATACTAATAATTAATAAATGCTATATAACATTTTAAAATTTTTCTGTTGTTAATATATTAATTAATAAATTAATGAATATTGTATATGCAAAGTTATAATGTATATATCTTCAATACTAAGAGGGAATGTTTTAATGATCAATTTGATAATATTTCAAGCAATCAGGATAAAAACTTACCGTAGCTGGACACTGCAAAGAAAGAGAGAAAGTAGAATTTGTTAATAATTAATATTAAACTCATATATAGATAAGGATATAAGCTTAATTATAATCTGCTTGCTTCATTCGAAATAATGAGAATCGCAGAGGGAGGCAGTCGCTGCCATTCGACCACACTGTTCCCAAGAAGCGTTATTTAGCACTGCCTTAAACGTTTCCACAATTCATGCGAAGGCGGAGATATTGTAGGTATTTGACGTACGTTCGTATAAATGAATGAAATCGAATTCATTTGGCATCGATTGCTGATTTAATTGTCTGACTAATTGAGAGATTTTTTTTTTGCGCTGGCATCTGTGAACTCCCATGACGCACATTCGGCCTAGTTGCAGCGTTATTTGCTCCATTTGGCACTCCGGCGAGCTTAATGACTTGATTTGGGAGGCTGATGAGGCAGCCAGGCAGCCAGGCAGCTCTGCGGCTCACAGATTGCTCAGCGTTGATTAGTGCCCGGGTCTGAGAGACAAATGCTGTACGTGCAGAAACGCCGGCCGATGCTCTGGCTGACCGGCGACGACAATGACTTTGCCATATATGCACTCTCTAGCTGGGCGGCTGGTTACCCAGCAGCAGCAGCAGCAGCAACAACAACAACAAGAGCAGCAGCAGCAGCAACAAAAAAAAACCTTTAAATTTCATGCAGAATTAATTAACTGCTGTTGGTGGCGACTCCGACTGCGACCGATTCGTGTTGTCGCCGCCAAAGCCGCCCAAGTTGCGGGCGCCCTTGTGGCCAGGCCCGTATCGCTTTTTCAGACTCTTGATATTTTGATGGCCAGGCAGACAACGCCGGAACACACAGAAGCGCGCTCTGGATCGCTCTTCGCTCTGGAATTTCATTGAGAAACGTGCCCTGTACTTGCCGAGACAGCAAGCTCAGGTCGTGTCCCCAATGCTCTGTCATGAATTGCACAGATATATAGACAGCAAGAGAGAGAGAGAGAGGGAGAGACGTATGTGTGTGTGTGTGGGACAGTCGTTGTTTGTCTTGGGGATCTATGTTGTGGCGCCATTAGCTGCCATTGGCTGGCCCGTGTCGCAATTTAATTACAAGCATCGCTATCTAGAGAAGGCGGCAGCAAGATTTATGCAAACAGTAAACAACATGGATAGACTGGAGACTGGACAGATGCACGGCTCCATCAAATGATATGAACGGACGGGCAACGGGCGCTGGCCAATGGTTGTCATCAGCGTTGTTCTTTTTGCTTTCCACCCGATGCACAACTCAATTTGCTGCTGCAGTTAACCCACTCATAAGTAAGTGAATGAACATACCTACTATATGTGTGTATCTGAACAAGAGATATGGCCTGGCTGTAGCTTCTTGAAAATCGAATCACGTTCGCCCAATTTTGAATGGACTGACTGCATGAACGTTTGGGGTAGCTTCGACAATTTTAGCTCCCTTGTAGGCGATTAACTTAAATGCCACTAAACTAATTTAAAAGCGATTGTAGGAGCTCTCTCTCTCTTGCTCCCTCTCTCTTTGTCTGTCTCTCTCTTTGTGAGTCTGGGCGATAGAATTTCAGTGCCTGGGCTGTTAAACATCTTGTCCTGTCCGCTCAAACACTGTGCAACGCACCCATTGTCACGTACTGTAGAATGTGGCCATCAGTGTAGAGATCTGTGTAAAATAAATACATAAATACATGTGCGTATGTGTGTGTGCGTGTGCGGCTCTTGGCAAGATTGCTTTTTCCATATGGAATTTAATTTGCGCTGCCCCTGAAACATGTAATAACGATGCAATTTCATTTGCAATTTAGAGCTACGGCTACTAGCCCCGAAAACATTTGACCACTGTCTTGGCATGCCGCAGATGCAACAGCATGTTCCAGTCTACATTAATGCCACGTTATGGGCGGAAGACAGAGAGCAGAGCGAGAGAGACAGAGAGGGTGAGAGAGAGAGCGCACTGCACAATGCCCAGCGATGACAAAGAATTTCTCGTTATGCAAAATACCTGCGAATATTACACAGTTAAGTTTACGATTTGATATATAGCTCTAAAGACTGTTGTTGTTCCTGCTGCTATACTCTGTATAGAACAGGGTTGCTAGATGGGGAAAATGTATTAGATCTTCATGATATGTTAACTATTAGAGCTGTTGGCTTTATATGTGTGTATTGATTAAGCTTTTAATAACTATTCGATTACATTTTTAGCTTGATTTGTTTTTGTTATGAATATTAATGCAAATGCATGGGTATTCCTTTACAAAGTTTCGTTAATCGATAACCGATTAATATATTTTCGACAAATTATTCAGATTACTTAACTCGAAAACTTCTTCTGATGAATATTCTCTTACGAATTACTCTCAGTTTTTTAGTCATTCTGAAAGGGATTTTCTTTTTATTTAAAGCAGAATTTGATTAGATAACGAATAGATCTCAATATATTGCTCATTATGCTATGAAAAGAACTTGGATAAAGCCCCTGGTTAGTCATACTTTCCAGAGTATAAGGACTTCTGTGACTTCATATCCTTACAGAGCATCTGCCAGTCGTTCATTCGCAGCTCAATCCACTGGCTGCATTTTGTTATTGTTATTGCTAACTGGCCGTTGTCAGTGAGTGGCCTGGCGCTTAGAAAACAAAACGCGACGGTGGCAACCTGTTGCGCCTATGGATGCCCCGCGGTCAGGGGCATCGTAAAACCTTACGAGCTGAATAACAAATACATGTATGGGATGATTAATTTAAGCACTTTTACGATGCCTCTTCATGGCGCAACTGATTTATGGCCGTGCGGCCGTGCGACGAATTTGCGTCAGGAAAAGCGCTACGAGAGGTCCATGGCGCGAGGGTTTATGATTGGCTTAAAGGGGCGATAAATGAAATTAGGGGCTTTGCAATAGCTGAGAGCTGAGCAGCCGGTAGGGTGCACAGCTCCCAGGCACTTTAAGGCTTGTAGGCGTTGCAATCCCAGACAGACAGACAGACAGAGGGACAGCAGGCTACGAATATCATCTAAGTTTGGCTGGCCTCTTGCATTGCAAGTACAATTGGCATGGCGGGGAGTGGAGGGGCATTGGCGGCTGGCGCATGTTGCCATCAGACGCATTTACTATTTTGCATAAATCATAATGTAATCTGCATCTGGAAATGAAAACAAACCGAAGCGAAAATGTCCAAGCTTTTATAATTAACTGCGCGGGCACAAACCGAAGACATTGGCAGGCGACATGCCGGGCACAGCTGCAGGACCTCTGCATTGGCCACAGCCAACCAGCATCAGGCATCAGGCAGCAGGCAACAGGCAAAGAGCCAAACGGACAAACGGCCAAACAGGCAACAACCAACAACAGCGACAACCGCATAAGTTTCTCAATGAAGCATGGAGCCCAAACATCAACAAAAAGCAACAAATACAAATATACAAATATACAAATGCAACGGCAGCAGCAGGGTGAGCTCTGTGCCTGGCCAGAGAGGACGACGCCGGCACAAATGTGGATAAGCCCTCACTTGGCGCGCAATCGCAAAATCTACGCAGCGCGCGGTCAACGGGCGCCTGCCAAAACTACGGCTAAATAATTTATGCCCCCAGTCAGCAGCAGCAGCAGCAGCAGCAGCAGCAGCAGCAACAGCAACAGCAACAGCAACAGCATCAGCAGCAGCAACAGTCAGCGATGCGCAGCAACACATTGGCGCAACATGCTCCTTGGAGCGAAGCAGCGGGTTGGATGTTAGTCGCAGTAAAAATCAAACAAAATTATAAATTAATGAAATTTATGCACAATAAAATTGCAAAAGAAATTATTAATGCAGTCGTTCACGCTTTAAATGCACCCTAAATCAACGAACGTACGCTAAAATTATTAATACGGCCGCCAGACATGCAGCAGACGCCACTGCCGCGGCTGCCTCCTTGCCTGCCTGCCATCATACCCAATCATGCTCAGCCTCCTGCTCCTCAATCGACAGTCCTGGGCAATCAGTGCAAGCAGTTGATAGGCTTAGGCGCCGGATATGTTAAGTTGCAAAGACATGCATCTTGCAACATTAAAGCACAACTTGCGTTCGGCGCTCAGCTCCAATCCACCAGATCCACCAGATCCACCGAATCCACCTTCAATTTTTATTGAAGGCGTTCGCCTTGGCTGCGTTTGCAGTTCGGCAAAACGAAGAACAAGAGGAAGAAGTGAATTTATGTGCTCATGATGTCTGTTTGTTTTCAATAATCTTTATTTCAAACATGAAGACACATACTGAGAGACGGACAGAGGTATGCAAAAGAGGGGGAAACCTTTAAGTATTGATTTAAATAGATATTGCAAGTTTGCTTCTATTCGAGAAGTCAAGAATTTCCTCGTGGATTAGCGATAGATCTTTATAGCCTCTACTCTAAAACTCTCTCTCTCTCTTTCTCTTATTATCTCCATTTTGCCATACTTTTTTCTCTTTTATATTCGCTATAGTTTATACATAGGTACGATATCCGTCTCTCTCTCTTTCTCTTTTAGCCTCTTTTCTGCATTCTTTCTATTATCTTTTTCTCCCTTAATTTAAGTGTAGATCTCTGTAGATCATAGTTAAGTATTTTTTGCAGTTAAATCTACAATCATAGACATTTTTCGTTTACGCCTCTAGTCTCATCTCACATTCTAAAGTTTCTATTAAATGTTCCCACAACAGGCACAAACAATGATGTCAGTCTGCTACCAAAATACTCGCAACATAATATGTGAACATGGCCCAATTAGATGTCTCTAGATAGCACTTACTACGTTTCGAATATTGCCCAATTTATTCTTTGACAAATGGGTCTTTAATAGGGCTCTAGTTTATGAACTAGTTTCATGCAAGTGGCATATGAATAGTTAATTTCATTTCGCTGAAAGATCTGAGATCATCAAGTGGCAGCTAAATCAACTTGGGCCTAAACAAAAAAGGTATCACACACACCCAAAATATATGTATATATATAAAAAAAAAATACAACTAAACCTAACAAAACAAG